TTAGCTACCAGTTGGCTTATTTTAGTTTTAACATACCGTTTTGCTACCTTTAGCTTTAAAGCTAAAAGCTAAAATTTTTAGCTAACAGACTGCTTATGTTAGTTTTTACCTACTGTTTGCTACCTTTAACGATTAGCTATCAGATTGCTCATTTTAGTTTTTATTTACCATTATTCTATTTAAAGTCTTTAACTAACATTCTGCTCATTTTAAGTTTTAGCTAACACGTTGCTACTTTTAGCATTTTGCTTCTTCAGGCTTTGAAACCTCTTGGCTTCTTAAACTAACTTGAGCAAAGCCATGTAGCGCTCTAGTTTAGTAAATTTTGACCAATAAAAAAGTGTCTGTAAGCTGCTGACAGGTGAAGTGTTTAACTCAAAGCATAAAATAAAATCTAAATAAACTTTCTCCTCTGCCCCCCTCTTTGCCACCCTCAAATGAAACCACTATCTCCGCCACTGGAGCCCGAACCTGTTCATTCAGCTCCAAACTCAGACCAGAGGCTGCTGTGGGGACTTCACACCTGTAAACACGATCAGGTGTGTTTAGTTGTGAGGCCGAGCAGGTGCACCTGCTCAGGAAGGATATGGCCACTCTGTGATCCGCTTCGCGTACTTCCTGATGAGGTTGTCCTCTCGGAAGATGAAGAGGGAGCGGTTGACCGTGAAGCAGTTCTGCTTGACGGGGTTCGGGTTGTAGATGGCCATGGTTCGGGCTCTCTGGGCCATCGACTGCTTGTACATCCTCTGCGCCCCCCTCCCAGGGGCGCCCGGTCCTCCTCCTCCGCCGCCGCCTCCTCCTCGCCCTCCTCCGCCGCCTGCGCCTCCTCCATAGCGGGTGGGGAGATCGTCCGCGAAGCGAGCCATTCTGGAAACGCACAGATCCAAAAATCCAAGCTGGTGTCAGTGGGAAGGAGAGGGAGCCGCATCCCAAGCAGCGCGCTTCATGCGAACCACTGCCCGGCGTCAAACTGGAGGAAAGGTCCAAAAAACCCGAGCAATCTGCAGCAACGCGCGCGCGCTGGAGCCTTTTCCATGAAGTCCTCCTCAGTGAAGCCTCCGGAAAAAAAACATGAAAGTTTCCAATAATCACTTCACTCGTGCTGTTGCATCCGCGTCACCTGCCGTGGCTACAATTAAAAAATTAAAATCAGCCCCGACAGCATCGTGTCCAAAGAGCTGCGCCCCCCCGACACCAACTCCTGCTCGTCTCTTCCAGCTGCAGGAGGAGAAAAGAAGAGCATCCAGCAGGAGGAGGAGGAGGAGGAGAGGACCTGTGGTTCCTGGCTCATCGCTCCTGCATGGAGGAGCTTGTTGGACGAGGAGACTCCTCTGAGGGAGCAGGAAGGAGCATGTGACCACAGGGAGCCTATCGCTGCCCGGAGCGCACAGGCGCGCGCACCGGTTCTGAACCACCACCCGGTCCAAACAGGCTCCGTCAGTTTTATTCCAGTGAGGGATGTGCGTGTGCGTGTGTGTGGGGGGGTGGGGCGTTAAGATTCAAAACATTAAATAAAAAAACATGATTAAAGGATCGTTTCCTTAAACTGCAGAAAAACCACGGCGCGCTCATGCACGAGCCAGAGTGCGTGTTGAGGATGACTCTCAGCTACTACCACACAAGTTCCAGCTGCAGGTTTGGTTCAGTTACAGCCGCTTGGGCTGAGGTCAGTTAGCTGTGGCGGCCATTTTGAACTGGATTTAAGAGCATCAGGTGTAACAGCTGAAAGTTTTATTAAAATGGGCTTTGATTCAGGAGATATTTTACTAACAGACAGTAAATGCTGAGACTTTAAACAAAGACCTCAGTCTGTGTTGTGAAGGAGTCTCGGCTACTACCCCGCCCAATTCCAGCTTGACCTCAGTAAAACTGGAGGACATAGACGTTAACTGGATAAGGCAGATTTGATGTGGCGGCCATTTTTAATCAAGTGGAGCCCCAACGGTAATCGGCCGACTCCCATTCAGTGTTTACATTCTGCAACTTCAATAAATTCTGTATATTGGACTTGAGATATTTTGCTAACAAACAGGAAAACCCTCACCAACACATGATCATCCGCCTTCGCCTTTAAGCAGCGGGTGATGACGACGATACTCTGGCTCTTTATTTATTTAACAAAAACGAGTCAAAGATACAAAAACAGCAGCTTGGAGCAGGAATGCTCAGTGGCTTTCTGTTCGTCCCTCGTGGTTGTGGAGGGATTTTGGCCCACTCTTCTTTCCAGCGCTGGTTTCTGCTCTCTGAAGGTCTCGCCGCAGCATTTCTGGACTCTGACTGGACCTTCATTGTTCCTGTTGTACGTCAGCTGCTGGGTTTGGGATCAACGTCCTGCTGGATCCAGTTTGGTCCAAGCTTCAGCTGTTGGGCTCCAGAACCCTTTGGTCCACAGAAGAGTTCCTGGTCCACTCAGTGATTGACAGGTGTTCAAACCATCAGTGCTCCACCACCGTGCTGGTAAACATCTCCACTTTGGTTTAGTTCCATCTTGTGGTTCTTTCAGATGAAATAATACAAACCTAAGCTGGCTGCCATGTTGTTTTTAGACAGAAGAGGCTTCCTCCTGCAAACCTTCCAAACAAGTCATGACCTTTGACCTGCTAATTGAAGCCTGTAGAGTATGAGATGAATCTTTGTTTATCTACAAACTACAGCCACACAAATGTATGTGACTCAGGTGATTTTGGCTGAGTGCTTTGTTTACATTGAGTGCATACCCACATTTCAGATTTGTATATCTGGAAAACTACTGGAATAAATTCTTCCAAACTGAATCATTCAGAGGAATCTTTTTATCTTTGGTTTCATACTTTGCAATGAGTGTCTTTAAGAGAATAAAATATTCAACTTTTTTTTTAACAAATCTAGGTCAGTTTAATTTGTCTTTACTCTGCCACCAACACAAACAAAATCAATTAATGTCCCCGTTAAAAATTCACATTATTTTTGTTAATTTCCAGAACTACTACATTTAACATGTGCATATCTAAAATATTTCAACAACCTTTAATGATTGGATTTCACGCCAATGTTCAAATATAAAACTTCCAGATTTGCTTATAAATTGTTTAAAAAAAAAAATCAGATGTGAAAAGAAATAGAGGATAAATCCTCCTGAAGACAACAGTGACACCTGGTGGTTGGAGTGAGGTACTGCAACAACAAACTTTTTTGGTTTTTCTAACAAACTGGAAATGTGTGGTTTAGTTTAGGAAAACATGTTTTTAAAAGTACAAGTCCTATATCTGAAGCTATATCTGCAATGCGAAATATGTAAACAGCATTATTTATTAAAAAATTAAAGTGTATAGTGAATTTAATGACAAGAGGGGCAGGATTAAAGTAAGTTTATGGCACAATTAGTTTATTAAAATGTGTCTGTGCGTCTATTTAAGTTCCGTTTCATCTATTATTTTTCCTGGACATCTCCTAGATTAGCTTTAGCCGGGTGTAGAGGGGTGTAGGAGCCGGTCAGACCTGTGGTTCAGCGGGGACTCGTTCAGGGTGTCGTGCCTCCACACCGCGCGGCGGACACCGTCCCTCGCAGCCGCTCTGGTAACTCCACCCAGGTGTAAAACCGTGTCATAGTTCTGCTCCGTTGCTCCGTGGACAGCTCTCCATGTTGGCTCTCTGGGACCGTCTCCTGCTTCCTCAGCCGGGTCCGGGTCTTCTTCGACGGCTTTTGAAAGGCCGCGCTTTCTGTCAGGTGTCGGAGCCCAGGTGTCCTCGTACTCCACCCCCTGGGTCAGCATCCGCCAGGAGCCGAAAGTGGCTGCGCGGACCGCTGGAGGATTAAATAAAATAAAATAATGGTACAGCATCTGGGTACAAAAACGTTTCTATGCAATAACTTCTAGTTAAAAAGACGCACAACATTAAAAAGGCAACAGGAAAAGTAGCTTATTTGTAGCATCGGGCTACAGCGACCCCTGGTGGTACTTTTTGCGTACGACAACTCGGATTGAAAATAAATGTTTCTACATCAAATAAAATCATCAATTGTTTTTAAATGAATAATTTATATGCGAGCTTATTTGTAAATAAAATAAAACAGCTAAAGCAAAATTTGTGCCGTTTACCGTTTATGGTGCTGGTTCGAGCTAGCATTAGCGCCACAACAGCTAGCCGCAGAATCCCGCCAACACTTGCGCATGCGCATTACGCAATTGAAACCCACTAAACTTCAAAACACTGAAAACACTAGAAAAGAAAATGCCAAAATTCTGCAAATGCCAAATTTCAACAAACTGCACATTATTTTGAATAATATATGATGGAGATATTAAAAATTATATTTAAAAAAAAAAATCCTCATCGTGACTCTTTGCCAGCACAAGGCATACAAAGTGATAAGATAGGAGATGCAACTTGTATTTTGTAATTTGTGAGGAATAATCTGCCTCAACTTGAGGAGCACAAGTATAGAGTCCAGTTAACAAGTGATGGATCAACAGATAAGTAGTGAGGACGTTGTTACGGTCAATCACAGTGAAGAAAGCAGAGTCGAAAGACAGAGCTCTCAATTTCCTCGTCTGTCTACGTTCCAACCCTCACCTGTGGTCATGGGGTTTTTAATCATTATCTAAGGAACGCGATCCTGCTTAAGCAACTGAAATGAGCTTCCCTTGTCTGGGCTCATCCTTAGAGAGGGCGACACCCCGGAGTAGAGCCACTGCTCCTCTGCCTCAAAACGAGTCAGTTGAGGTGGTTCAGGTATCTGATTAGGATTATTTTATTTGTGTGTTACTGCTACAAATAAGTATTTGAGCACCTGTGAAAATCAATGTTAATATTTGGTACAGTATCTTTGTTTGCAGTGGCAGAGGTCAAAGGTTTCCTGTAGTTTGTCACCAGGTTTACTGCAGCAGGATGTTGGCCCATTCCTCCACAGATCTTCTCTAGATCAGCAGGTTTCTGGGCTGTCGCTGAGAAACACAGAGTTTGAGCTCCCTCCAAAGATTTTCTATTGGGTTTAGGTCTGGAGACTGGCTGGGCCACTCCAGAACCTTGATCTGCTTCTTACGGAGCCACTCCTTGGTTCTCCTGGCTGTGTGCTTCAGGTCATTGTCATGTTGGAAGACCCAGCCACGACCCATCATCAATGCTCTGAGGGAAGGAGGTTGTTCCCCAAAATCTCAATCCATGGCCCCGATCATCCTCTCCTTAATACAGTGCAGTCGTCCTGTCCCATGTACAGATAAACACCCCCAAAGCATGATGCTTCCACCCCCATGCTTCACAGTAGGGATGGTGTTTTTGGGATGGTACTCATCATTGAGCATGCATCAGGGTACTCATCACTCTTCATCCTCCAAACACAGCAAGTGGAATTAAGACCAGAAAGTTATATTTTGGTCTCATGTGACCACAGAACTTTCTCCCATGACTCCTCTGGATCATCCAAATGTTCATGGACAAACTTAAGACGGGCCTGGACGTGCGCTGATTTAAGCAGGGGAACCTTCCGTGCCATGCGTGATTTTAAACTATGACGTCTTAGTGTATTACCCACAGTAACCATGGAAACAGTGGTGCCAGCTCTCTTCAGGTCATGGACCAGCTCCTCCCGTGTAGTTCTGGGCTGATTCCTCACCTTTCTTAGGATCACTGATACGCCACGAGGTGAGATCTTGCATGGAGCCCCAGTCCGAGGGAGATTGACAGTCGTGTTTGGCTTCTTCCATTTTCTAATAGTTGCTCCAACAGTTGATCTTTTTTCACCAAGCTGCTTGACAGTTGCCCCGTAGCTCTTTCCAGCCTTGTGGAGGTCTACAATGTTGTCTCTGGTGTCTTTGGACAGCTCTTTGGTCTTAGCCATGTTAGTAGTTGGAGTCTTACTGACTGTGTGGGGTGCACAGGTGTCTTTATGCAGCTAACGAGCTCAAACAGGTGCTTCTAATTTAGAATAATCAGTGGAGGTGGACCAACAGGTGTTTGAGGACCAGAACTGATGCTGATTGGCAGCTGTTCAAATACTTATTTGCAGCAGTAACACACAAATAAATTTAAAAATCATACATTGTGATTTCCAGATTTTTAAATTTTATTTATTTATTGTAGATTATGTCTCTTACAGTGAACATGCACCTAAGATAAAAATTTCAGCCCCCTCCATGATTTCTAAGTGGGAGAACTGGTAAAGTCACAGGGTGTTCAACTGTATATCCTCTCTTCTTTGTTAATGCCTTATTAGGGTCCCCCAGGAGGAGCTAGTGTCACAAGTTAGATGGAATCTGGGTTTCTCACCTGGATAAGCGGTAAGAGATGGAGATGAAGAAGTAAGGAACAAACAAATTTATCTGCTTCATAAATCCTCCACTGGTGGCCCGGACTGTTAAAAATCAGCACTAGCATTGTCTGTTGAAAGACATACTGGGTCAACCTTGAATTAAAACCAGTATTTAAGTATTTAAGATGAGTGTGGACAGGACGGGGTTGGTTGGACAAAACAGTTGGAAACACCTTTTTGTTTTTATGTCCATTTATTCTGGAAGAAAGAAATCTTTAAAATGGTTAGACTGAAGCTCCTGCTTCTTATTCCCTTGAAAATCAAATCCAGACAAAAACAGTTCAAATGAAGCTTCAAATTAATTTGTCACAATAATTTTAATTTAAAAATGCAAATACCATTTGTGCTGCCACCTTTATTAAGTGTTGACAATTATTATTTTTTATCGCCAGCCCTTTTAGAGGAAAGGTCCTTACCTGTAAGACCTTTGCCTTTACTGAACCACCCTGCTGGGTGTTGAAGCAGCAAAAGAGGTTCTTTAAGACGTGAACAAACCAAGAAGGTTCCAACGTACCATAAACCACAGTGGATCGTCTCTCTGCCCATCTGGACTTGTGAGGAACCGTTCTCTTCATGCCTGCCCGGTCGGCCCTGATGGTCTCTGTACCGAGTCCAGCAGCACCAAAACCAGCCAAGGGAGGAGTTTTTGGGAATGCGGAAAGCCCGCTTCCTGTCCTGCCGTCTTATCGGACTCCATCTTTTCTGCTCAGGGAGAATTTTCTCTGATTTGTTTAGCGACTCTGTTCGCTGCAGGAAAGGCGCAATCACCGCTGGGTTCATGAGCTCCAAAAAGGGCCTGCCGATGCTCACTTCCTGTTTTCCTCCTTCCTGATGCTGCAGGGAATATTCTGGATCCAAATCTCTTCTTTTTAATGAACACAGCTGATTAGACTTCTGGTTTGTCGTTTTGATACCTAAATAAATTCAGCTGATGAGGTTTAAAGTTTTGTTTTTCCACTAGTACTGGGCTCTGACTGGACTGTTGCAGCACCTTGGTTCTGGTCTTTTTGACCCGTTCCGTTGTAGATCAGTTGCTGTGTTTGGGCTCACGGTTCTGTTGGACCCAGTTTGGTCCAAGCTTCAGCTGTTGGACAGATGGACTCAAATTTGGCTCTAGACACCCAATTGCTCCAATGCTGCAAGAAGCCCAAACCATCAGCCCTCTACCACCATACTGACAGCTAGGAGGGGCTGTTTGCAATGCATTCTGGGTAAACATTTGTCCTTTCGTCTGGTTTTTGTCCCAGAAGTTTTGTGGTTCCTCCAGATGAAGCTTGCTAAAGTCTAAACTGTGCTGCCACATTCTCAGGTTAAATCCTTCCAAACAAACCATGACCTTTGACCTGCTGAGGCCTGTAGTCTGATGGAGCTCAATTCTCTGAGCACTGCATGGTCTGACCTTCGGGGTGAATTTACTGGGGCGCCTGCTGCTGTGAAGATGGGCACGTATCGACATGTTTTGGACTCGAGATAAGTTGGAAATGACCTTTGACCCTGTTCCAGATTGACAACTGCTCCTCTGAGGACATTGCTGATGTTTTTCCACCCTGGTGTTGTTGCACACACCTGTGTGCTCCAGATAAGTGCTCCCACTGATGATCAGTTAATCTGCATCTGGACCTCTGAGACCTCGTAAAAGCAGCGAGGCTGCAATCCAGTTTTCCACACGCAGCGTTAACGTTTTTAATAAACGAGAACACGGAAGAAACTTTTGTGCATTTTTGTTCAATTGGGATTGATTAAACTAATTTTAGAACCTGGTAAAGACCAGACTATCTGTAAAAACCTAAGAATTAGCTCATTATTTTAGTCAGAATTAAACATTTTCTCTAAGTTGAGCCATCCACACCAGGTAAGATAATTACTGTTTAGGCTTTTTCAAGACACCCCACTTCGAAACATCTGAACTATCCCTTAAACAAAAGCTCAACACAAAATGCGCTGGATAAATTTGCCTTTTGTTTCAACAGCAACGATTAAAATGAATAAATGCAATAATATTAAATTTATTGAAAAAGATACAGACAGTTCGATGGATGGTTCACAGTCCAGAAATATGTAACAGAAAATAATGGAAGTGCAATTTTATCACCCTTTTAAATTTATTTTTTTTTACCTTTCAAGACTTTGCACAACAGTCGCTGCTTTCCTAACACGAGTTAAAATCCTGATTTGGCTTCTGTCAGCAAAACCGAGATTTGATTTAGAAAACCGGAGATAAAATTAAAACATAAAAAAAAAAAAAAAAAAAACATAAAAATGTTCTCTTATTTTACAAACTATGTTCACATGGAAAACAAAAAACCTTGTCAGCACCATTTTCTTGTATTTTTTCCACCAATTACATTTGAAGTTGAATCCATTCTGCAAATATCCGGTAAAGGTACGCCAATTTATTCCGACTAGAAATCGACAAAGCTGCAGTTTCCAAATCTATATATACCCACTTGAGGAAAAATAAATCCACTTTTTGTTTCCATTTAACTCGATTTGTTTGTTAATTTGTAAACTCGGCTGTGGTGGCAAACGTGAGACACGACGAGAAAGACAAAAGGACACGAAAACGTGGCAACAAATTCTGAATTAATCAGCTCCGTTTGCTGGAATGGTTGGTGAAAAATGACCGCGGGGGTCAGAGGACGAACCCCCAGCTGTGTGCTCAGGTTGTCCTCGCAGAAAGTTAACTCATCACAACAATGTCCATCAAGTTATCTTCAAAACAAACAAAAAAAAGACGACATTTACACAGCTGTCCTTCCCGGTGAAGGTACGGATGCAACGTCAGACGGGTTTCATCGTCCTGCGGTCTGTGCCCTCGTCCTTTTGTTCGTGTGACGGATTAACGGAGTTCTTCCGGGATCTGATTGTGCGTCTGGACCAGGGCTTCTGATGAATGGTCCTCCGTAACGACGGGAAGTGGAGTTACAGTACGAGTGCCGCAGATCGAAGGTCCAGAGTGGGGGCGGGGCTCGTTATTACGACGGACTGGTGGAAGAGCTGGTGTCCGGCAAGGCGCTGGGCTGCTGCTGCTCCTCCGGCGTGCTGTCGGCCTGCAGGGACGCCATGGCGACCGACGAGTACTTGCACTTGGAGGAGCCGCACTCACAGCTGAACTGCTTGCTTTTGACTTCCCAGAAGTGGTCGCCGTAGTTAAACCTGAGAAACAAACACAATGTCAAATTTTAACGTTTTATTTCACTAAAGGTTGTTCGGTTACCTTAAATTAACTGACAGGTTTTACACACTGGGCTCATGGTTCTGTTGGACCCATTTGGGCCCAGCTTCAGCTGGTGGACTCTCAGACCCCAGAATCCATTAGTTAACAGAGTTCATCCATTCAGTGGCTGCAAGGAGCCCAAACCATCAGCCCTCCACCGCTGTGCTGACAGCTGGAATGAGGGTGTGTTGCTGTGCATTGTGGGAAAACCTCTCTACTTGGGTCTCATCTGTCCAGAGGACATTTGTCCAGAAGTCTTGTGGATCTTTCAGATGGAACTTCACAAGTCCAAGTCCTGCAACTTTAGTCTTTTTATCGTAGAGGTGTGCAGGTCTGGTCCTGGAGGCCCCTCATCCTGCAGGTTTTAGATCTGAGGTGTGCAGGTCTGGTCCTGGAGGGGCCCCATCCTGCAGGTTTTAGATATGGGGTGTGCAGGTCTGGTCCTGGAGGCCCCCCATCCTGCAGGTTTTAGATCTGGGGTGTGCAGGTCTGGTCCTGGAGGGCCCTCATCCTGCAGGTTTTAGACTGTTTCTTGTCTGGTCATTAACCTCTGCAGACCTTCAAGACTCTCTGAAGGACCCACTCAAACCCTGAATCAAGTGTGGGAGCAGGAAACTGCTAAAACCAGGACCGGACACCTCGTTCTCCTGCAGCCCTACCAAACAAGACAACTTTGACCTTTAACCTACAAACTGAGGTCTGTACAGTCCAAGATGGAACTCATTTCTTCGAGTATTGCAGGGTCTGACCTTCGGGGTGGAATCTGCTTCCCCTCCTGAGAGGATTGGCAGTAGTCTGTAAATAATCCTCTCTCTGTGTAGAATGTTTGGAAACTACCTTGGAACTTTATTTTTATTTATTTTAAATAAAAGTTATTTATTTGTTTAAAAGAAGATGAGGTTCCAGGTTTACCCGAGCTCTTCCCCAGCCTTGATGTTTTCACTGGCAAAGAAAGCGATGTGTGGGAATCGAAGGTCCTGGTGTGTCGTGAAGACTCGACAAGCGAACAGGTTCGGCTCGCACATGTGGTTCAGGAAGCGGCTGGCGTTTCCATAGAAACGGGCATCGATGCAGTAGAGATCTTCAGGCTGGAGGGGAAACGACGGGAGGTGAGAGGCCTGAACTAAAACTCAGACGAAGGAACAAAAATCTAAGAGGATAATTTTTATCATCGCTGCGTCCTCGTCAGAACGTCACCTTGTCGTCCAGGCTGAACAGGTACGCGTCGTTTTGTCTCAGCTCCGCCTCGGCTTCGGTGATGATTTCACCCACGTACCTGTTGGAGAGCAGAGAACGTTTGGTTGTAAAACACCTGGTCTGTAGAGACGGAAGCCGAGCTTCAGTGCCAAACAGCTGAAACGTTTCAGCGCTGCTCTCCAACTCACTCGCAGACGAACGTCCCCTGTGGGATGTCCTGCAGAGCACGGACCCCCCAGCCTTTTTTACTGGTCCTGAAGAGCTGGAGTCTGGTCCTAGAGGATTAACAACAAAACAGAATTACCTCTTCTCACAGTTCTTAAATAATAAACTTATTTGAAACGTCTGAAGACATTAGCCCCCTGGGCTGCGACTGTTGGAGACCAGTCGGTGACTCAAGAACTACCTGCAAATTTTCTGTCAAAGTGTTTTCGACCTGCGAGCAGTGCGGCTGTGCTTTTGAAAATCATCACCTACCGTATTTTTCCCCGTACACGTCGCACCGCCCTATAAATCGCATCAGTCCAAATACGTCTAATAAAATGGAAAATCCATAAATACATCACTTCGCCGTATTAGTCGCATCTATTATGCGTCATCACCGACAACCAGGAAATGTGGGCAGGTGTACCAAAAATTGATTGGCTGCCAAATGGCGGCCGCAGGAGCGTGCACGGGAGGATTTTAACATCAATTTAGCAATATGAACACTTAAAAACAATTATTTGCTTTCTTGAAATTATAGCAAAGGTGGTCTCAGTCGAACTTTTACTTAATAAATGCACTTTGACGGTCAAGTCAGCTGCATTTCAAAACAACTCGCTGCTCATTTCTTTGAAATTTAACAAGATAAGCAGCTAAAACAATTATTTGTTTGCTCAACATTATATCAAAAGGTGTCTCAGTTGAACTTTTCCTTAATAAATGCACTTCAATGGTCAAATCTGTTGGATTTCGTCTGGGCGGCGCAGTGAAACGCAGCTGATTTGACGGTTGCTCCAGACGAGCTGGACGAAGGCGTCAGACTATGGCAAGCCGATTGTGTCATGCAAAAAAACTGCGACTTATAGAAAAATTATATGGTACTTTATTGCGGCCCGTGCAGATTATTTTGTTGCCCGTGTTGTTCCCACCTCAGCTGTTGTTCTGACATTTATGATTTCAGAAGATGATTTTTATTTATCTCAGATGTGGTTTTTGGACCAGGCTGTAGCTTTAGATGAATCCTGTCATAAGGAGAGATCCCATGCTTGTGTCAAAGTGCAGCTCTAGTGCTCCAGAAACATGAAAAATTGTCACACTTGTTTTTTTTGTTTGTTTTTATGTTTAAAAGTTAAGCAACACCTCCATCCAATGTCTGATGTTCACCTATGGTCAGGTCATGGAGGTAAAAAAAGTCAGGAGAGAAACCCAAATCTTTCCCAGAGGATGTATAGGACGACACCCGGGGCAGATCCAGAACTCGCTGGAGGAATCCCTCCAGTGAGTTCTGGATCTGCCCCAGGTCTCCTCACTGAGGTATGAGCCCAGAAAACCTCCAGACAGAGGCGTCCAGATTAGATGTCTGAACCACCTTGTTTGATTCCTTTCCATGTGGAGCTCCTCACCTCGTCTCTACGGAGGAAGCTCATTCCAACCGTTCCATCATGACCACAGGCGAGCTGGAATGCAGGAAGTCAAGAGCGTTGTCTTTCAGCTCCACTCCTCCTTCCCCACAACAGACCGGAGCAACGCCCTCATTACTACAGACTAAGCTTTGACAATCTATTTCTCCTGCTCCATTTGCCTCAGACTCAAGCGAGGAAATTCAGGACCCGCGCGAACATCTCAAGACATTTTAGAAACTCCCTCGCGTTCACCACCAGGTCGCAGCCCGACGCAAACGATAAACTCAACAGTAAATGTATCAGTTATGTTGTTTCTCCCTTAGCCGACGCTCGGCTTGTTAGATTTTTAACACGTCCAGATGGATCCTGAGCACCTGAGTCCGTTCTGCACCACTCGGTTCCTGCAGGTTCTCCAGCAGGAGCAGGCGTGGTTGCACTCGAAGATGAGAGGAGGCTCCTCGCGGCAGAACTCTGGCAGGAGGCAGCCGCTCTGCACGTAAAAAAAAAACAACGCACGTCGTTATCCCTGTGAACACGTGCAAAAACGTGCACGCTTCGATCCTCACCTTGTCGTACCAGCAGCGCAGGCTGAGCTGTCCACACATGCAGTTACTGGCAGAACAGTCCTCTTTACAGACGCAGTACTGTCAGATGCACAAATAAAGGAAAAGGATTTATTTCCTTCAACAGCGCTCGACCGGGGCCAGGGGGGGTGCGCTCGCTCACCTGTAAGTGTGTTATATTGCGGTCGATGTTCATGGGGGAGGTGACACAGTTTTCTGAGATGTACTTGTAGTCGTCTGGGACAGGTTCGCTGTCGACAGAGTTCACACAAGGAAAGGGAACTCGCTCCTGACCTAAAGACACGTCGCTGTGAACACGGAGAGCGTAGAAAGTCAGGATGGTTCCACGAACAAATAAATCTGTTACAGCCTCCATTTTTGTTGTGATCGTCTCCCAGCGATGCTCGGAGCCCGTCCTGACCCCACCTGGTAAGGAGTTTCTCTTCTGCCTGGCTGAGCCGGTCGCTCTTGGCGTCCCTCTCCTTCCTGTTGGCCTGCAGGGCGGCCCACGCCTTCGAGTTGTGGCTGCAGCAGTCGGGAGGAGTCTCCCCCTCGCGGTTCCTCAAAAACACGTCGGCTCCTCGAGACAGGAGGAGTCTGAGGAGACAAAGATCAGCAACAACCCTGATTATCTGAGATCCGGCTTTAAAGGAGAACTGTTTTTATGTCTTAGTTTAAATCCCCGGAGTTCTTCACTTGACACAATCCAGGCGATTTTCCCGAGCGGCGATGTGCAGCGGAGAGTCTCCGTGGACGTTGACGGCCTGCAGGTCGCTGTGGGCGTTCAGCAGCAGCTCGGCGATCTCCACGCTGCCGGAAAACGCTGCCCAGTGGAGGCAAATGTTTTCTTCCTAAATAAAAACAGAAGTGCTTTAATGCTTCAGCAGAACGGACAAGGCAGATCAGTCTGACAGCAAACACAGGAAGGACACTGGTACCAGAGAAAAGTGCATTTTATGAGTCAAGGTGTGAGCAGAGAAAAATGTGCTGATCTGGATCTTTACCTGCCAATAAAGAGGCTTTAGTCTCACCTTTACATTTTCCTGCACAACCAGTGCCTCAAACGAACCGGTACTCAGGATCAGGATTTCTGATTCATTTATTTTTTAAACTTAAGAGTATTGTTACTGCTTACAGAGTACCACCATCTATCAAATCAGTTTGGCCAATAATTTAGACAGACGTTTGGGGACCGATCAGTATCGGCGATAATTATCGGCCGGTATAAGCAAATCTAATTTTCACCCCTAAAATGCTGGAACAAGCCGTAATTGTACATTGTATCCAGCAGAAGGTGCATGAAGACCACTTTCAAGTCATGGCCATTCACTTAAGTTTCACTTTCACGTTCAGCACTGACTGAGCAGGGAGCAATACTGCGCAGCGTATTTTACTGAACAGAGCATGGCAAGTTTATTTTAACTGATCTGTAAAATAAAATAAAGATCCACAATAATTCGTTTTTAAGATGTTTTGTTGTCGGTCCCGAGTTTTAGGAACAGAAAACTAAATTATTATTATTATAGACCATGAACCAACATCCTTCTAGGCGTTAACCAGGAGCTGCTGGCACATTTTAAGTACATCTTTACATTTTAGTCCCGACACCTCAGTAACTGTGGTACTGAAGGCACAATAGCTTCATTTGTTCACTTCCTCTAAACGTCAGGATCTCGCTGGGCGGTTGTCGTCTGCGAGGCCGTGTCCAAAATGCCTTGAAATGGTCGACGTGGTTCTTAGTTTCCTCGCCTGAGCCGCAGCGTCGCTTTCATGTCGCAGATTTGAACAGATTCAAAAATAATTCTCAAAATAGCCGCAGAGTTAATGCAGGTGTCTCAAAACAACCGTGATCCCTACTCAATTCTTAATTCAGGGATGAATAATTGCACGTTATTCGCAGGAATGTTGGGCAAACGTGGTTATTTGTAGTCGCATGCGCGTGAGAACAAGTCTCAGTGTGACCTCAGAGCCGACCTTATCCCTGATGCTGAGGTCGGCTCCTTTGGAGAGCAGCAGCTTCACTTGGTCCGCGTGTTTGTACTCCGTGGCCCAGATCATGGCCGTCCAACCGCCGTCATCCTGTGGAATGAAAACGCCATCAGAAACTCCATCAAAACACTATTTACTTCTGTTTTAATCAGAGTAGTGAGCATTAATAATCAAGAGTTGGCGCCTCTCATAAAACAGTATAATAGACTAGAGAGGTTCAGAACACAGGGAAACAGTTATGTACCGGTAATTGTCACTCAAGTGTTGGACACAAAAAGAAACGTGGGGGAAAAATTAAACCAAAACTAGAGAAACTGTATTTTCTGAGAAAATATAGTGAACACAGAAATCTGCTAAAGAAACTGAAGCTGAGCTATGAAAGCTAAAATAAATAAAACGCATGCAGAAAAAGTTAAAAAGCTAAAAGTGGCGTAGGTTAGCTAGATGCTAAACATAGCAAAGGGATGGTTAAAACGAAACTAAAATGGTAAATGGACTGTACTTGTATAGCGCCTTTCTATCTTATTTCAAGATACTCAGAGCTCTTCACAACAATCTGTGCCTCATTTACCCGTTCATACAGCTCTATACTAGATCTCTACAAAGATCTAAAGAGACTAATCAGAGCTTTATCACATTCATACACTGATGGACACACATCAGAGGCTATGATGGGTTCAGTGTCTTGCCCAGGGACACTTCGACATGTGACTGCTGGTGGATTCGAACCCCCAACTCTCGCATTGGAGGACGACTGCTCTAACCACTCAGCCACAGCCGCCTAGTGAAAGGTTAGCAAGAAGCTAAAAGTAGCAAAAGGCTTGTAAAAAGCTAAAAATAGCAAAAAGCTAAAATAGCAAAAAGACTGTTAAAACATAAAATTAGTGAAAGCTAGCAAGAAGCTAAAAGGAAAACGGTAGCAAAATGCAGCACTAGAAGAAAAAAAAATAAATCAGAGCCACTTTATTGAAACAGATTCCAAAGAGAACCGTTTTTTGAAGGAACTGAAGAGACATCTGCATTTCTACAATAAATCACTGCATTTATAACTAAAGTTGAATACTTTGAAAAGTATAAAAGATTCAAAAGCCAAAAGTCACGGCTCCAATCTCCTGAATGAGCAGATTTTTAAAATACGATCATCTAAAAACAGCACAAAGCATGTTGACGTTACAGCAGAAACGTAGAGAAAATAAAACTACACGCAAGAGACGAATCGATAAAATCTACTAATGAAAGGACACTTTAAACGCTAAAACTAATCCTCTTAAAATAAAGTCGAGGAGTTGCTCCGACCTGACAGTTGATGTTGATGAATCCCGTCAACAGAAGATGCTCAACGATGTGGTAATGACCAGACTTGGCTGCTAGGTGGAGACACGTGAACCCTTCAGCGTCCTACAAATTTAAAATAAAACAACTGAACATTTCTCAAGTTTAGACATTAAATATTTACATTTTGACATATGTAAAAACAACATTTGCTTGATTAAATAGTTTGATTCTGGTTCATTTCTCCACCTAAATCTATGAGTTGATCCCCGTATCGGACCGACCTTGTGCGTGGCGCTGGCCCCGGCTCGGAGCAGATACAGGACCACCTCCATGTGGTCGTTCTCGCTGGCCTCCATCAGAGGAGTCCGCTGGTCGTCGTCGCACGTGTCCAAGTTGGCTCCGGCCTGAAGCGTCGCACATCAGACAGCTGAAGTCAACCGCTAAAAGAACCGGGACGAGGTGCGGACCTGCACGTTTACCTGAACGAGCATGTGGCAGATGTCGGTGAATCCTCCCTCGGCCGCGGCGTGCAGCGGCGTTCGCTTGTTCTGAGAGTCCATCTTAAAGTTCGGGTCGATACCGTCCACTGGAGGATAAACAACAAAATAAACATTTAAAAATGTTCTGCAACCTGTTGCTTCAATCTTTATCAGCATTTTGTTTTTGCGTCTGGTGTAGAAATCTGTCATGAACTGGACAGATTTCTTTCAGAACAAAATCATAGAATTCGCACCTGAAGCCGATAAACTTAAAACAAACAAAATGCAAAATGGCCGCCACAGCTAGGTGTCCTTAAACCTAAAAACCTACAACGGGAACCGTTCAGATAATGTTGAGGCGCCAGCTGTGGACGGTGAAACAATAAAAAGTATGTGTGGAAAATGGAGGCAGCATGGAGGTGGTGGGGAGAACGGTGAGGGGGAGACTCGGGGTGAAGTGGGGGAGAGAAGCGGGCAGCGAGGAGCGCAGGAGTGTGAGATGAGTTATGATTTAGTGCGTGGTGATCAGGGAGGAGGAAAGGAGAGGTGGATGGAGAGAAGAAAAGTGCAGGGTCGTTTTTAGGAGCTGGAGTGGAGAGAGGGACAGGAGCGGCCGTAGGAGATGCAGCAGGGGGCCCCAGCCCCTTTACAAGAGATGGAGCAGGGGGCCCCAGCCCCTTTACAAGAGATGGAGCAGGGGG